GGCTGGCCTAGACCTTATGGGCAGGCAAGTCCAAGGCTGGTTCAAGGGCACCCACCTTGGGTGCTTCAGCAGGAGACAGCTCAGTGATGGCCAGGGGCTGCACACCTTGGCCTTAAAAGGACATTATTTCATAACTGAGCACACTTATTTATTTATTACAGGTACTTATATAGCGCCATCAATTTACGCAGTGCTTTACATATATATTGTACATTCACATCAGTCCCTAACCCTCAAGGGGCGTACAATCTAAGGTCCCTAACCCTCAAGGGGCGTACAATCTAAGGTCCCTAACCCTCAAGGGGCGTACAATCTAAGGTCTCTAACTCACATTCATACATACACATATTAGGGACAATTTAGACAGGAGCCAATTAACCTACCAGCATGTCTTTTGGAGTGTGGGAGAAAACTGGAGTACCCGGAGGAAACACACACAGGCACAGGGAAAACATGCAAACTCCAGCCAGTTGGGATTCGAACCAATGACCCGAGTACTGCCAGGCGGAAGTGCTAACCACTTAGCCACTGTGCTGCCCATACACAGAATAATCACTAACCATTCCTGTCTGTATGTTATCTGTTAGAAGGTCACTGTGCGCATGCCGTGGAACTAGCATTGTTGTGGGATTTGGGCAATGCAAGTCTCAGCTATTGTGACAGGTCCTCTTGAAGCTCCCTGGGGGTATGGATTGATGTGTGTTTGCTCTGGACAGGTTTTGTATAAATAAGGTCTGACATACAATGGAACAGAGCGGGAGGGAAGGTCCCAGGTTAAGAGGCTAATTACACGCTCCTCCCCACAGCTTTAGAAGTGTAAGTAGAACCTCTTGTTGTTTGTGGAGTCAGAGAGAGATCTGTGTCCAGGGACCTGGTCTCAGGAGGTCAGAGGTCACACAAAGGGCCAAAATCATAAAAAGGTGTAATCACAGCTCATATGCCATACAGTAGTCAATATTACAGATGTCAGAGGTGAGTGGGGGGAGGGAGTGCTAAGATTCATCTACCCTGTGTGCGTTTGGGGATGGACCATCAGCAATGGGGGTTAGTAGAAGGTCCATGTGGAGGTGGTGTCCAAGTCCATCTGTAGTGGGGGGCTTGTAGTAGTATGGACTTGTCCGAGGAAGCAGCCGGCTGTAAGAGCTTGTAGATACTCCTAATGCAGGTAGAGGAGACGGCAGCGACACCAAGTGTAGACGGGTGAAATCAGGCAGATTTAATGGTAAAATTACACTCACATAGATAGGTAACAGGCAGGCATGTCAAGTGATGGCGGTCCAGTGGGAGTGCAGTCAAAAGACCTGATGCTCCCACTGGACCTCCATCACTTGACATGCCTACCTGTTACCCATATATCTCGCCTTGGCTATTGCAACATCCTCCTCATGGGCCTACCTCACCGCAGGCTATCCCCTCTTCAGTCTATCATGAATGCTGCTGCCAGACTTATCCACCTTACTAATTGTTCTGTATCTGCCACCCCTCTCTGCCAATCCCTCCACTGGCCTCCATTCAGTGTCCTCCACCCCTCTCTGCCAATCCCTCTACTGGCCTCCTCTCAGTGTCCTCCACCCCTCTCTGCCAATCCCTCCACTGGCCTCCTCTCAGTGTCCTCCACCCCTCTCTGCCAATCCCTCCACTGGCCTCCTCTCAGTGTCCTCCACCCCTCTCTGCCAATCCCTCCACTGGCCTCCTCTCAGTGTCCTCCACCCCTCTCTGCCAATCCCTCCACTGGCCTCCTCTCAGTGTCCTCCACCCCTCTCTGCCAATCCCTCCACTGGCCTCCACTCAGTGTCCTCCATCCCTCTCTGCCAATCCCTCCACTGGCTCCCCATTGCCCCAACGGATAAAATTCAAAACATTAACAATAAACATATAAAGCCATTTATAACTCTGCCCCAAATTACATCAACGATCTTGTCTCCAAATATCACCCAAACCGTCCTCTCTGCTCCTAGCTCCCTTGTCTCCTCCTCCCATGCTTGTCTCCAGGACTTTTCCAGAGCTTCCCTCATCCTCTGGAACTCTCTACCCCAATTTATCAGACTATCGCCTACTCTGCTCACATTTAGGCGATCTCTGAAAACCTCTCTCTTCAGGGAAGCCTATCCTGCCCTCAGCTAATACTGGAATCTTCTACTCTTCCAACCACTCCATCCCCCACAGTTATTACCTTTTGTACCATTAGCCCCTCCCTCCTAGATTGTAAGCTCCAAGGAGCAGGGCCCTCCTATCCCTCTTGTATTGAACTGTATTGTAGCTGTATTGTCTCCCGTTATATTATAAAGCGCTGAGCAAACTGTTGGCGCCATAAATCCTGTATAATAATAACAGTAATAATAATATTACAGATGGCTCCTGGGATCATACATCCGGTGGGTGTTGGTACACAGATATCCAGAAGGGTCATTCCTCCCAAAACTGATTGATGGCGATACCCTGAATTGCAAAACAGATTCTTGTATTGCTGGAGGACTCCAATGGTGAAACTCCCCCATACATGAAGTCCCCCATCTCTTGCTAAGGGAAAAAGAATCTCAAACCTCCTGCTGTAGTCTCCATAAAATATTTATCAACACAAATTGGGCAAGCAGAGTGGAGTGGAACTGGGAGCCCAGATGGAAATTCCTGCCCACCAGACTCCCCCAACAGTACAGCAAGCCTCCACAACCAGATGTAATCTTTTAGTTAAGTGTTCTCTGGCTGCAAGGGGTAACCTCTCTTTCCCGGTGTTGACAATGTCAGAGAGGCAGGAAATGATGCTGCCTGTATGGACGCCAGATAGTCTGCAGAGTCCCTACTATTAAATGGCAGTTGCCACACCAGCACCACCTAGTGCTCAGTACTTACTGGTACATGGTTCTCTGCATGTTCACAGATGAACGGAACTCATAACATCAAGATCTGCCATCTAGAAAGGTTAGCTGTGTCTAAACAGCAATCTTAATTATGTAGGTTTTGTCTTGGATCACTCCTGAAAAACAGCAGTGTACTGACTGCACATAGGCACTCCTGTTCTGTAGCCTCATAGCTGTATGCCTGCAGTGTGACATCTAACGCACTGCTGTCTGACTGCTAGTCTCGCCGGATTTGGTCATTTCACTACTGTGCTATTTACGGTTTTCTTTGCTGGAGAGGAAACTGTAACAGAGGACCTGCACTTCAAGGATGTCCTGCTTCTGCTTCATCCATTCTGTAGATCTGTGCTCTCTCAAGTATTACCCCACCAAAAATAAAACCACCAGTTAGGAAGTGTGGCAACTGTGGCTTGAGGAAGGGAGCCCTGCCTCTTTCTTTTCCAAAATGTTTATTGGATTTAAAGTGATTTTAAACATGTCATACTCGCCTGCTCTTCTAAGGTCTTCCCCACCTCCTCCCCCCCTGCCGAGAGCCCCATAAGAACTTGCTATGGGGGCAATCATGCGGGCTGGATCCCGAGCCCCGCTGTGTGTGTCCATAGACTGACAATTTTGAGACAAAAAATATATATATATATATTTTTGACTTTTTGCTAATAAACATGTCCAGTAAAAAAAAAAAAAAAATCTAATTTCATCATAAATTTAGACCAATGTATTCTGCTCCATGACTTTGCAAAAAAAAAAAAAAAAAAAAAAAAAATCCCAATACGTGTAAATTAATTGGTTTACATGACATTTACAGTGTTGACAAAATGGCGGTATATATACTGGGATTTTTTTTTATTGTTTACTAGTAATGGCAGCGATCAGTGACTGCGGCAGGCATTCGGACATTGGGGGGAACTGACTTGGTGTCACTGACATCAACACGGTGATCTGTGCTCCAAAAAAATAAATAAAAGGGGGGGGGTTAACATGAGGGACGATCAAAGAGTTAACTGTGGGCTGGGTGTTTTTTACTAGTGGTCAGTGTGTTGGTATTTCACTGTAAGCACACTGCTTTGAATGGCTGTGCAGAGCCATGCAAAGCAGTGCGCTGGAGCTGATAGGGAGAACGGTTTTATTTACAAACAGTTCTGCTCACCGTCAGAGATCCTTGGCAATCACAGGGTGCTGGCAAGTAATCATCGGCCAAGACTCAGTGATTGACAGCCACGAATGGCAGCGCAGGTAGGGCATTTGCGCGCCCCCTACCCAGAAATGCGAAATCACGTATATATACACATTTTGTGCACCCGTGCTGCCCTGTAGCAGTATTTCTGCTATAAAGGCGGTCGGGAAGCAGTTAAGGGAGATAAATCAAAAACGCACTGGTGTCAATAGATTACTGGCTGATATACACAAGAAAAGCTGTACGCACTGTCCATAACCACATAACCAATCCCATTCATGTAGATTTTAAAGGCAATACTTACCTGCTCTGTGCAGTCCTTTTGCACAGATCAGCCCTGATCCTCTTATTGGGTTCCCCACAGGCGCTCCTGGCCCCCTCCCTCCTGCTGAGTGCTCCCAGAGCAAGAAGCTTGCTATGGGGGCACCCAAGCAGGTGCGCTCCCGCACCGCTGCTCTGCCTGTCCATTCAAACACTGAGCTGCAGCTTTGCCCCACCCCCTCTCTCAACTCATTCGCTGACTGGTTGTGGTTGAAAGCAGCAGGAGCCAATGGCTCCAACTGTTGTCTCAGCCAATGAGGAGCCCTGTGTACATAGCTGGATCGCAATGGGGCTCAGGTAACTATTAGGGGCGGGGCTGCAGCACTCAGAAAGTTTTTTTCCCCTCATGCAAAGAATGCAGGAAGGTAAAAAACCTTGAGCCTTTACAACCACTTTAAGGGGAAAAACCTGACTAGCTGCTATGGGTAACACAGCAAGTTCATTTGTCGGTCCTTACCATACATTCTCCACAATTCTCATTAGACATATCATCTGCACATTTACATAGCAGACAGGCCGCATGCAGCGTCCTGTGCCACCCTGGCGCCCGCTGTATAAACGTAAAGACCGGCAGACAGAGGGTGGATGAATGCTGCAGTCAGCAGAATGAAACAAAGACACAGATTGTTGTAATGTGAAATGTAGTGCGATATCTGACACGTTACATACATACATACATATTCATGGTACTCACTGCTCAAACTACACAGTACTGCTCTGCATGTATCCTTCCATTAGTGGCTGCACATCTCCCCCTAGTGGCTGGTCTGCACACCCACACTGGGGCTCAGTGAGCACACTGCTCCCCTACAATCGGATTCTGATGTCTATATCCCATCTCTCTGGACCCCGCATTCACTATATCCGGTCTCCCCGGACCCTGCATTCACTATATCCGCTCTCCCCGGACCCTGCATTCACTATATCCGCTCTCCCCGGACCCTGCATTCACTATATCCGCTCTCCCCGGACCCCGCATGAATCTCAAACCTCCTGCTGCTGTAGTCTCCATCAGCAGTATATAGCAGTCTTGTGACTTCTATCAGTGTCCAGCTGAGGAGGAGTTTTCATTCTCCTCTGACTGTTATGAGGCTGTATGACCCCTGACCCGCTGTCTGCAGGTAGCCATGTAACTTATCACAGACAGGTTGGGGGTGGGAGGACTAGGGAAGACAGAATTCAAGCAGCCTTCCCAAGTAGCCATGTGACTTGTCGCGGACAGGTTGGGGTGGGGGGGGGGGGGGGGGGGGGGGGGATGAGGACTAGGGAAGACAAAATTTAAGCAGCCTTTCCAGGTAGCCATGTGACTTGTCGCAGATAGGTTGGGGGGGGCGGGGACTAGGGAAGACAAAATGTAAGCAGCCTTCCCAGGTAGCCATGTGACTTGTCACAGACAGCACCAATATGGAAGTTTAGGGTAAACATGCCCCATTACTGAAATGATTCCGGGATACTCACCCACAGTGGTTCCATCTTCTCCCATGATACACTTCATAGCGGTAATGATCTGCTCTACCACGGGCGGAGACATGGAGGTAGCGTATGCAGTGCTGTGTGAGTGTTTTCGTAGATATTCTATGAGGACCTGGTGAGAAGACAGACAGATATGGAGATATAAGAATCCACCTAGATCAACTTCCAAATAAAAGGCTTAGAATTCCAACACGGTAGAAGTGATGTTCACAAACCGGATCCCAAATAATCCATTTCTGTAGCTGTAACCCATTACGGAATAAAGCTGAACCCCAACGAGATCCATTATATGGTCAACGTTTATAGGCAACCCTTCTAAATGACCAACTCTGATCTATGGAAGGGTACTGGTAATACTGGCACATACAGGTATCTTTAGAGAATTTAGCTGTCCCAACAGTTTGTGGAAGGTATTTTCTGTCCTAACAGGACTGTGCTCCTCTGTACAAAGCCATGGCCATAGAGACACGGCTTGATCAGTTTGGTGTGGAACAACTAGATCAGGGGTGCTAGACCTTTTGAGGAGTGAGGGCCATTTAAGTGATTTGGCAACCGGCAACAATGAAAGGAAATGGTTCAGAATTTTGAATTTTTTATTTTGAATAGCATAGTAAACATTTTCCCCCTGCAGCTAGTGAATGCTGGAGGAAGGTAGAGGAGGAGAAGCCGGCTTTCAGTGGTTGCAGGAGGAAAATAGAAAAGGATTGGTTCCTGTAAATGCTGCCCCTCCTGTCAAAGTGTAAAACAGAATGTGATAGGTAGGCCGCATGGGCCCCCTGGAGCATAGGGCAGGGTCGCCATTGTGACCCCTTAGTCTATACCAGTGGCTGGTAGGGGGGTTGGTAAAACATGTCAACTATGGGGTTTTACTGCTCCCAAATGCAAAAATAAATGAACCCTTACTGCTCTGAGCCCCCTATAAGGCTGCTTTCACAAGGATGTGCTGCCGTTTACCTGAACCATGGGTGAAGCGCAGTGCACCTGCGGCTTTCCTGCAGGTTAGCTGCGCTTTGCTATTGATTTCAATTATATCCTGCAGTTGTGGCTCACTTTCAGAAAGCGCACCAAACCCGCAGGATATATTAGAAGCTTAAGGCTCAGTGCAGTGGCCACAGGAAAGCCGCAGGTGCACTATGGATCCGTGGGAAAACAGCCTAAAAACACTTTTTAACCACTTCCCATCCGCCCGTTTTATATAAACGGCCGGACGGTGGCAGTGCAGGGTCGGGTGGCCGTTTATAAATGGCCTCCCCGCCCCCTGCTTGTGCGCACTCCCTGGAAGCGTGCAGCACCGTGATCCGGTGCCCGCTGTGTCCTCCGGACACAGTAGAACACCGATCGTCGTATGGGACCTCTCTGCGAGGTCCCGATCATGTGATCACTGATTGGATCAGTGATCACATGCAAAGTAGTAAGCAAGATGTCACCTTCGGACATCATTGCTTACTACGTGTGAAATCTGTGAATGATCACAGAGGTCACAAGGTACAGGGCTATTCACAACAGCCTTGTACCATGTGACAAGCTGTGACCAATCACAGTTCACACAGTAGTTCTCAATGGCTGCAAGAATGCAGCCAGAGAAGGAGAAAAATTATTGCTTTTACAGCCTTTATGGGTGTAAAAGCAATCAGTGGTAAAAAAAAAAAAAAAAAAAATCTTCATTACCCCCCACAAGTAGTACAGTGTCACCATGGTGTACTGTACTGCTAGGGTGCCAGTATGTTAAAAAATAAATATAAAAAAAAAAAAAAAAAATGTAAAAAAAAAAAAAAAAAGTAAAAATTATAATTTTTGGTTATAAACTAATTTGGGTTTTTTTTTTAACTAAAAAGATAACGGAATAAATTTTGGCCAAGATTTATGATGAAATATTATTTATTTGCAAAATTTTATAAGAAAAACACTTTTTTTCAAAATTTTTGGACATTTTCATTTACATAGCAAAAAAAAATAAAAATCCCAGTGGTGAATAAATACCACCAAAATAAAGCTTTATCTGTCATAAAAAAAAAAAATGATAAAAAATTCATATGGGTACAGTGTTGCATGACCGAGCAATTGTCATTCAAAGTGTGATAGTGCTGAAAGCTGAAAATTGGCCTGGACAGGAAGGGGGTAAAAGTGTCCGGACTTGAAGTGGTTAAAAAATGATAACAAGCCCATTGCAAAACTCAGTGATGTTTAATAAACTGTCCCTTTCCTCTTCCAGCTTCTGCTTGCATTGCTCTCCAGGCTGCTAGAAAGGTCCCAGACGACGTGCACTTGGCATCCCTCCGCCTGGGACAGGAGCCGGCACTACAGATGAAGCATTGACTCCTACTCCCCCCATGGCCGCTTGTTTCCTCTGCGGCCAGCACCGGCTCCATGCACTCTGATGCTCTGGCATGGCGGGGTGACAATCCAAGATCTGGGCTTGCCAAACCTGCCATTCCAAAGCATGAGGTCATGGGCTACATCAGAGGGCTGAGCACCCCTGACCTCAACTCCAACACCTTTGGGATGACTTGAAATGCCAGTTGTGAATCTGATCTTATTATCAACATCAGTACCTGACCTCACAAATGGCCTCAAATTTCCAGACACCAAAATGTTGTGGAAAGTGTTCCCAGAAGAGTGGTGGATGGAGCAGCCAACAAGGCAGAGGGGGGATTTGGAGTCCACACTAATGACCATAAAGCAAGCTAGTCAGTCTGGATTAGTTTCATTCAAATATTTCCTGTACGACGGCACTCAATGAAGAGAAGCAACACTAAGCCAATCAGGTTTTACTGCACTGCACATGTGTTGACAGCAGAGTGTGCATTAGGATGACTATCAGTCTGCATCTGCACCTTTATTTTCCAGTCAGCTGGGTGAAAGGGTAAGGAGCAAGCTGTGCTGATTCTGCAGTGGTGAAGCTCTGGTTGTGCTATCTGGCAGGGGTGTGGGGGGAATCACAAGTCTGGCCAGTAAAACAACTCCTATATCTATCCATCCATCTATCTATCTATCCATCCAGTCATATCTGACCCTTGCATGGACTGTCACTCGTAAGCAACCTATTCCATGAATTCTCCTAGCAATTATTTTTACAGGGTAGGTTGCCAGGTCTTTCCCCAACCCCTACCATGCAGGAGATCCCGCATGGCCAGGGATGAAACTAGGGCAATTTTTAGACAGGAGCCAATTAACCTACCAGCATGTCTTTGGAGTGTGGGAGGAAACCGGAGTACCCGGAGGAAACCCACGCGAACACAGGGGAGAACATGCAAACTCCATGCAGGAGGCGCCATGGTCGGGAATCAAACCCATGACCCAATTACTGCAAGGCAGAAGTGCTAACCACTAAGCCACTGTGCCGTCCAACTCCTATAGGTGGTTTTGTAATTGTGTAATTACATGCTTGTCCAGAGCCTGAATGTTCTGCATCAGTGAAATTGAAAAACATAACATGTTTCTAAACTAAAAATTTACTTTTAGTTTAGGCAGTGCTGTGCCACGTTCCATGAAAACATTCAATGACAGAAGCTTTTCTACCAGGCCAAACCGACATCTCCTCCTAGTCTCTCTGTATAGCCCGTCTTCATCCTGTCAGAACATGAGGTACTCACCTTACTGCCACCAATGTAGCCTCCAGCACCTCCAAAGCTCTTGGTAAACGTCCCCATCATGATGTCCACATCTTGGGGGTCTAAGCCAAAATAGTCCACTACCCCTCTGCCATTTGGTCCCAGCGCACCAATACTGTGTGCCTCGTCCAGATACAAGTAGGCTTTGTACTTCTTCTTCAAGGCAATAACTTCAGGTAAGCGGACAATGGATCCCTCCATGCTAGAAGTGGGATGAGAAGGTTCAACATTAATAACCCAACGATAGATGTCCAACCTTCACCCCTCTCCCCACCACATCAGCTGTTGTCCCCTTACTTGCCTGTAAATCCCTTCCACCACAATGAGGATCTTCTTCCAGGGTCTATGTGTGCGAGGCTGGCCCTGTACAATGGCATCTTTCAGCAGCTTCTCCAGGCTTTGCATGTCTGCAAATAAGCCATTGTTTACTTTTCTCCAAAGCACAGAGAGACCTTCGTGTCTCCAGATCTAATATTTCCACTCATCGCTGCACTTGGTTGTGTGGTTTAGAACCAAAACAACATCAATGTCTAATTAAAGGTTGCTGCACTTACTATTGTGCTTGAAGATGCGTATTGTTGCCCCCGAAAGGCGGGCACCCAGGACCAACGAGGCATGGTTCAGCTCATCACTTAGTATCAGACACCCCTGCAAAAATGAGGAGGACATGTGAGATGACCATCAACACAGCAGAGAACTTGAAGCATTGGACAAGCCTCCAACACCAACCTTTCCAACCAGTGCTGGAATATTCATGGAATTTGTAGCAAAACCCATCCCATATGCCAAGGCAGCCTCCACTCCTAGAAAGCGAGCAACCAGGCGCTCTAGCTCTTCATGTGTATCTAGATTACCTGCAGAAACATCGTTGATAAGTGTCAGAGCTCCAGAAAATACCAGATGGCATCATCACAGAAAAGAAAAAGAGTCAAGTACTGGTACTAGGTTTGGAGCAACTCCAGGAGAGCAAATCCCCAGGAGCGGACCAACCCCAAGAGCGAGAGAGACATTAGATGGACCGACCTCCGGGATGCAAATCCCCGGGAGCGGACCGACCTCCGGGATGCAAATCCCCGGGAGCGGACCGACCTCCGGGATGCAAATCCCCGGGAGCGGACCGACCTCCGGGATGCAAATCCCCGGGAGCGGACCGACCTCCGGGATGCAAATCCCCGGGGAGCGGACCGACCTCCGGGAAGCAAAATTCCCGGGAGCGGACCGACCTCCGGGATGCAAAATCCTCGGGAGCGGACCGACCTCAGGGATGCAAATCCTCGGGAGCGGACCGACCTCAGGGATGCAAATCCTCGGGAGCGGACCGACCTCAGGGATGCAAATCCTCGGGAGCGGACCGACCTCAGGGATGCAAATCCTCGGGAGCGGACCGACCTCAGGGATGCAAATCCTCGGGAGCGGACCGACCTCAGGGATGCAAATCCTCGGGAGCGGACCGACCTCAGGGATGCAAATCCTCGGGAGCGGACCGACCTCAGGGATGCAAATCCTCGGGAGCGGACCGACCTCAGGGATGCAAATCCTCGGGAGCGGACCGACCTCAGGGATGCAAATCCTCGGGAGCGGACCGACCTCAGGGATGCAAATCCTCGGGAGCGGACCGACCTCAGGGATGCAAATCCTCGGGAGCGGACCGACCTCAGGGATGCAAATCCTCGGGAGCGGACCGACCTCAGGGATGCAAATCCTCGGGAGCGGACCGACCTCAGGGATGCAAATCCTCGGGAGCGGACCGACCTCAGGGATGCAAATCCTCGGGAGCGGACCGACCTCAGGGATGCAAATCCTCGGGAGCGGACCGACCTCAGGGATGCAAATCCTCGGGAGCGGACCGACCTCAGGGATGCAAATCCTCGGGAGCGGACCGGCCTCAGGGATGCAAATTCCCGGGAGCGGACAGACCTCAGGGATGCAAATTCCTGGGAGCGGACCGGCCCCATGGATGCAAATCCTCGGGAGCGGACCGACCTCAGGGATGCAAATCCTCGGGAGCGGACCGACCTCAGGGATGCAAATCCTCGGGAGCGGACCGACCCAAAGAAAGCAAATTTCCCAGAGAAGACTAACCCCATGAAATTAAATCCCTGTGAGCGGACGAACCCCAAGAGGCAAATAAATGGGAGAGAAACAACCTTGGGAGAGCAAATCACATAGTCAGACCAACTCAAGGAAAGCAAAGCAGACAGCCTGATCGAACCACAGGGTCAGACATGGAATAGGGCCTGTACCAGGTGCAGCCCAATCCCAATACAGATCTGTTATCAGGGGCTAAACCAATCACAGGAGAAAGGCAGCCAATCCCAGCAGTTGGCATGTAACTTCCATCCCACATTTAGTAAAAGCACAAAACTCTTGACGTTCCGCCTCCCAAGCTTTGCATAAAACCAATCAGAACATATAGCAACGTACGGATAGACAAAAGGAAAAGAACAGATCTGTTACCCAATTCAGCCTCAAACATTTCCTCAAATTCACACAAATGAATGCAAAAAAGGTGAAAACAGAGTTCTAATGGCAAAGTGAAAAAAGTGATGAATATGGACAGTTAGGTGAAAACTGATTAAATCCATCAAAGAGGCATTCCAATAAAAACGTCATTCTCCAGAGGAAAGGATCTGCAAAACCGATTCCCCGCATAACAAAACAAAACTGTGACATCTATTCTGCCCTATAGAGGGAGACAAATATACAAATGTAGAGTTCTCCTGACACCCGAGTCACAAGACGCAGCTTGTCCACCTTCACCGCATGTGACACCACTGCACTGGAACTAGCATGCAACCCCAATCCCGAGTGTAGCAGCTTCCACCTGAGGATTCTCACATTGGAAATCTTTCTTCTGACAGGTTGTCTTAAAGTGTTACTAAACCCACAACAGTACAATCAGTCTGTATATGCAGTAAAGCATGCTGTGGAGCCTAAGGGGGTTAAACCTCTGCATTGTGTAAAAAGACGGTCCGGGGAGAGCGGCTATAGTGAAAGCGGGGTCCGGGGAGAGCGGCTATAGTGAATGCGGGGTCCGGGGAGAGCGGATATAGTGAATGCGGGGTCCGGGGAGAGCGGATATAGTGAATGCGGGGTCCGGGGAGAGCGGATATAGTGAATGCGGGGTCCGGGGAGAGCGGATATAGTGAATGCGGGGTCCGGGGAGAGCGGATATAGTGAATGCGGGGTCCGGGGAGAGCGGATATAGTGAATGCGGGGTCCGGGGAGAGCGGATATAGTGAATGCGGGGTCCGGGGAGAGCGGATATAGTGAATGCGGGGTCCGGGGAGAACGGATATAGTGAATGCGGGGTCCGGGGAGAACGGATATAGTGAATGCGGGGTCCGGGGAGAACGGATATAGTGAAATGCGGGGTCCGGGGAGAACGGATATAGTGAATGCGGGGTCCGGGGAGAACGGATATAGTGAATGTGGGGTCCGGGGAGACCGGATATAGTGAATGTGGGGTCCGGGGAGACCAGATATAGTGAATGCGGGGTCCGGGGAGACCAGATATAGTGAATGCAGGGTCCGGGGAGACCAGATATAGTGAATGCAGGGTAGGTTTAGTAACACTTTAAAGTTGATTTCTTGGCAAATATTTACCCTGAGTGATATATTCTAACTTATCATTGGCATTGGAGAAAAAGAAAAAAAAAAAAACTAAACCCTTTTTACTCACCTATCCTCACAGTCAAGTGACTCTCCAGTCTTGAGTCGTGTTCTTTTCACATGAGACAGGGTCCTTTCTTCGGGTGTCCACATCACTGCCTAACACAGACATTTCTTGTCAGTTGTCCAGCGGCGGAGTCCTCTCAGGATCCAGAAAAGCAGGGAAGTTCGCATGAAAGGATTGGCTGGGCGTGGGGCACATGTGCAGCGCTGGATTAGCGGTCCCCTGCACCTGGAAATAGCACCGGTGAGGGACCTGCATAAAAAAACTTCAGGGGGAAAAATTCAGGTGTGTTACGAGGGGTGGAAGGGGGTCTATTATTTGCAGGGAGATGGACTTTAAAAGAGCATGTCAGCACAAGAGACCCCAGTAATGAAGGGAGGGGAGCATAATGGCTGCTTAATACAAGGCGAGGGTTTTCTGTGCCAGTTTCTGTTTTACACGTCAATAAAGATCACGCGGGTACATTCCGTGCATTCGGGCAAACGCTGCGTCATAATCCGTACTCACCCATTTCTTGCCGTGTGCTACACACACCTCCTCCATACTGATGCAGCACACTGGATGCAGCATCGGCACATACTCCGTGATTCCTTGCAAAACCCAGGTAGTTATAGGAGCCCATATTCATCACACACCCTTTATTACCCGGCCTGAAAACCTGAATTAAAAAGAAAAAAAAATAAATCAGCTAATCATAATGCTGAGCTGGCAAGCCCCTACAGTGCCCAGCCTGCATCCTTCCCCATGGCTCTTGCACAGAGAGAGGGTGACATCACAGCCGGAAGGAAGACATACAGATCACATCAGGGTAACAAATCTACAAATACTTGTGTGCTGCACTATTTTCATGTGCAAATTATATATGAATGATTACAGCTCACCAAAAAAGTATGTTCACCACAAATATGAAAAACATACAAATATGTGATGCGCAGCTGTATAAATAAACAAATAACCGTGTCTGTATGTGTTATTAAAACAAACATGATGGCCTCCCCCATCCTCTGGATCTCCCTACCCCAATCCATCAGACTATCGCTACTCTGCTCACTTTTTAGGCGATCTCTGAAAACCTCTCTCTTCAGGGAAGCCTACCCTGCCCTCAGCTAATACTGGAATCCTCTACTCTTCCAACCACTCCATCCCCCACAGCCATTACCTCGTGTACCACTATCCCCCCCCTCCTAGATTGTAAGCTCCAAGGATTAAGAATAATTGATTTATTATATTTAATAGTATCATATTATAAACATGTAAAAATATAGATTATTAGTTTGTATTATTATTGTAGTACTAATAATAAATATAATTTAATTTATATCTCCTAGATTGTAAGCTCCAAGGAGCAGGGCCCTCAAATCCCTCTTGTATTGAACTGCATTGTTACTGTACTGTCTCCCACCATAATGTAAAGTGCTGAGCAAACTGTCGGCGCTATATAAATCCTGTATAATAATAATATTAGATAGCAAAAAACAAATATATAATAAAATTCAACTTGATTGCACACCCATCTGTAGTCTGAGTGAAAACGTCCTCATACACAGACCGTACAGTCTTATAATGCAAAATGTGCTCCCAGTGTACGATTTCTACAAAGTCCCAGTGCTGTACAGGCTATCTTACAAATCGTGCTTACAAACTGCACTGCAAGATGAACCCTGATGAAGTCACGTAATCAGTGACGAAACGCGCGTGAAGGAGCAACAAGAAGTCAGAACTGAGGACCAGTACAGCAGCAGCACATGCAGAGTTTTATTCTGATGTCTTTTATATTGTGAGTTTGCGGTTTTTAAAAGTGAGTGGAATCTTGTTTTAATAAATTCAACTATATATATTAAAGTGGAGCTCCACTTAAAAGGGGAAGTTCCACTTTAAGGACTGGTTCTCTGCTCCTCATGAGGAATTGGCACCTTTGGGGAGTGGGTTCCCGATTCTGACAGGTACTCACTGCTCCCACTTCCGTTTCGACTGCCTAAGCGATCTGAAGCGGAAGTTGTCCAAATCCTGCCCACCACCCGCATTCTTCTGACATGACAGGTCCCAGAAGACTACGAGATCATTCACAAGGCCCAGCGCTACATGCCCATGCGCAGTGGACACCCAGCTATGAAGCTGCAAACAGTCACAGCTGAGTGCCCACACTTAAGATGCCGGGGAGAGAGGATGGCATATGAACCCAGATGGTGTGAACATACCACTGGATCCTAGGACAGGTCAGTGACTGTTTTTTTTAAAAGTCAGCAGCTACAGTTTTTGTAGCTGCTGACTTTGTCAGATTTGACTGGAGCTCCGCTTTAAATACTACACTATCAGCACCCCTATGTGGCTTTGAGTTCACCTCACAAAGAAACAGATCAAGAAAATCACAGGAGAGTCCAGGACCAATGAGAGGTCTCTATCACTAGGGGCAGCACAGTGGCTAAATGGTTAGCACTTCCACCTGGCAGTACTAGGGTTGTTGGTTCAAATCCCAACCACGGCACCACCTGCCTGGAGTTTGCATGTTCTCCCTGTTCCTGCGTGGGTTTCCTCCGGGTACTCCAGTTTCCTCCAAAGACATGCTGGTAGGTGAATTGGCTCCTGTCTAAATTGTCTCTAGTATGTGTATGTATGAATGTGAGTTAGGGACATTAGATTGTACGCCCCTTGAGGGTTAGGGACTGATGTGAATGTACAATATATATGTAAAGCTCTGCGTAAATTGATGGCATTCTTCTGTCTGTGCTTACTTGAAGGTCCAGTTGTAATCATCGGTGTATCTTTCCAGAACATCTACCCGTTCGCCAGGAACGCTGCAGACTGGCCGATTCCAGTTGTCCCGAATTCTCATATACAGATTCCGCGTGTAGAAGTTTTCAAAGTCCTGGTAGAGTGGCACAAAGTCCTATGGGGAAAAACAGGTCATGTGATCCAGAGCAAAAACCTGGGACTACACCCTTTACACACCATCCAACCCACGCAATCTTTCTCCAAGCAGAAGGCAGCACTATTTCCTCTGTTAGTAATGAAGTCTCACTCTGAAGCCAGCGCCATTTACAGTATGGAGGGAAAAGCTTCATTCTTACCAGGTATTGATGGTGGCTGGCGAGGACCCAAAGGAGCTGCCATCTCCAGCTCAGGGAAAATACTCAATCCCACCCACAAGTTGATCTAGGCCAGGGGTAGGCAACCTGCGGCTCTACAGGTGTTGCAGAACTACAAGTTCCATCATGCCTCTGCAAGTCATAGCTGTAACTGTCAGTTTTGTAATGTTGCAATGCATCATGGGAAATGTAGTTCCACCACAGCTAGAGATCCACAGGTTGCCTACCCCTGACCTAGACCATTCCCAACTAACAGTTGCAAAGTTGTCATGCTGATCCTCCTCAGTACAAATGAGCCACAGATATAGAACTCATATACAGCTATTTAAAGTTATTCTTCTTTAAAATAATAAGCATGTTATACTTACCTGCTCTGTGCATTCGTTTTGCCGCCTTTTTTCGGGTCCTCAGTCAGTGATCCTGGCTCCTCCCCCCTGCCTAGTGCCCCCATAGCAAGCCGCTTGCTAAGAGGGCACTTGTGCAAACTCACTCCTGAGCCAGCTCTGTGTGTCCATTGAGCAGAGTGTGGCTCGGCTCCACCCTCTCCTCACTGGCTGTGATTGACAGCAACAGGAGACAGTGGCTCCCACTGCTGTCTCTGAGCCAATGAGGAGGAAGAGAGCAGAGAGAAAGACGCTGCTCTCATGGACAGCACTAGATCGAGATAGAGGTAATGCAAGCACTGGGAGGGCGGGGAGCTGCATGCGGCTGTTTTTTTTTTTTTTTACCATAAAGGCAGAGAATGCATTAAAAGTAAAAAAACCTTCTGCCTTTAGAACAACTTTATTGCCTATTATGCATTTTTGTCCTGGCCTGAGGACTCAAAGTACTGAAGCCAGAGGAGCAGCATGAAAACCAGCAAGGGGTCAGAAATGACACCTCCCAGATGTCTCGGTGGGGTCAAGGCTTACTTTAGGAAGAATTGTGCACTGTACAATGCACATCATAACTCTATAAATCATTACAGGAAATGTGAAATTATCTCACTTTTTGCTCCTCGCGCTCGGTGGCATTGTGGCACTTTTCAATCTTCCAGGCTCTCAAGAAATCTCTCATGTACCCAAACAGGGTCAGGATCCCATAGCCCATGTACGTGAGGACGGCGACCAGCATGGGGGTCTCTTCAAAGGCTTCGTGGAATGGCCGCTTGTACAGTCCGCCATTCTGAAACTATTCGAGAGAAGAAAACAAACATGACAAAATTTGAACTCCCCTTCATCAGTTTTTAAGACAGACTGACCCAGGAGGTATACACAAGGTGTTATTGTATAGGGTGGGGTGATGGTGGCCTTCAGACTTAGAATGACCAATGACTGTTCAGGGTCTACGTAGTCTCCAAAACCTTAACTTGATAAGAACTTTAATTATACGAAGTTCACAGCAGGATGTCAGCCACCAGCAGAGTGCTCCACACCGGATGGCTCACTACACCAAACGGCACGAGATGGGGACAGCCGCCGCCAGCCCGGGCGGATGTCAGCCACCAGCAGAGAGTGCTCCACACCGGATGACTCACTACACCAAACGGCACGAGATGGGGGCACCCAGCAGGAGACGGCCCCCGCTAGCCCGGGCCGGCCCCAGCAAGCCCAGGCCGCCCCCAGCAAGCCCAGGCCGCCCCCAGCAAATGTATGTATATTGAACATCAAGCCTCTCCTCACTCAGATCTTTCCTAGAAATGTTGCTAATTATCATCAACATAGAGAAGCTGTATTATCACCTCATTTCTGAGAAGACATCATAGTTTGCCAGTTTTTAAGTTAAGCAATCATTCACTAAATGCAAGATTTGAAATGCAAAAAAAATTAAAAAAAAAAAAAAAAAAAAAAAAAAAAAAAAAAGGTTCCTTTCTCTGAACCTTTACATTGATTCACACTAAAGCTCATTTGCAATGCAGCTGCTCAATTAACCAATGTGTCTGGGCCAAGCTGTAGGTTAGAAACATCCATTAAGCATTTACTTAATAGCTTTCTGATCTCAATCACCCCGAAAGTGAACCTTGGGGTGCTCCACCAACACCCTTACACCATACAGAGTATGAATCATTCATCAGGACTTGCGGTCTTTCAGACCATTTCATTCATTTACAGACTGATCATCCAAAACCTACAGACCTCAATGTACACATTAGCCATCTGTGAGGAACAAAGTCCAATATTACTAACCTAACAGTCCAAGTTTTTGCAGACTGTCATAAAAATGGAGATTTGTTTGTAAACGAATGATGTGACCCATCAGCCGGGACATGGTGTTCTAGCAGATGTTCTTGTATGTGGTAGCTCAGTTCTATATTCTTCCCCACAACAGAAACATTTTCAAGTCTGACTTTTTTTAGGCATCACTTTTCCACCCACCGAAGTCAGGCCAGTCATTCAAGAGCCTCCTAAAATGATAAATGGCTTAGGAATAACTGATCTCACCTCTCTGAGAACACATGGATGGAAGCTTATTGACATTTACTGTGGCAATTTGTATCTGGACCCAACAAACCCCCTTCACAAGCCTAATGGCTGTTGCGAAAATACAAGTCCCATCATGCCTCTGTCTCTGGGAGTCACACTTGTAAAGGTCAATCTTGCAATGCCTCATGGGACTTGTAGTTTGGCAACAGCTGGAGGGCCGCCGGTTTGACACCCATGGGCTAATGGATCACACCAGGCACAGGGGGGAGGTGTCAGAGTGGCTCCCAGTGGCCAAGTATTAGAGAACACAACCTGCCCACAGACACAGCATCCAACGCTTGGGTACCAATGTAGTCATGATAAAAAATAGAAGACAAAGAAAGAAAAATAACACCTAGCCATAGCACACAGTGCAATCTGATTTACGGCACAGGCCCTTTTCTACTTTACTCGTAGGAAAAATGACAGAAAGAGAAAGAGGTAGGGAAGATAAAAAGGGAGGGAGGGGGGGGGGGGGGGGGGGGGGGGGGGGTGGGGGGGTGGGGGGGGGGGGGAGGGGGGGGGGGGGGGGGGGGGGGGGGGGGAGGGGGGGGGGGGGGGGGGGGGGGGGGAGGGGAGAGGAAGGAGGGGGGGGGGGGGGAGAGGAGAGGAAGGAAGGGAAAGGAAGGGGAAAGAAAGAAAGTGATGAAAAGTTGCTGTGTTTATAAAGGATCAAAATGACATTTTCTGCATTCTCGGAGCGTTGCTGCACATTACTGATACATAAGAGTCCAGAATACTACAAATTACTTCTCTACCGAGGAGAACAACACAGCGTACAGCTTGTGCTCTACGGAGGATCTGCACTGTGCACCAAGTCAGATTACCCCGCAGGAATGCAAATAGATAAAGGATAGTAGGAGGAACGGCCAGTATAAGAGTAGTGTAGAGAAGAGAAGAAGAGTATGGGAGCCAGAGAAACCAGAGGTGAGGAGGGAAGGAGGATAGACATAAAGAAAGGCGTAGGCGAAAGAGAGAATAGAGTAGCAAAAAAGAAGAGAGAGGAGGTACAGGTGGATTAGTAGAATAATGAGATAGGAAAAAAAGGAGGAAGAGGGAGAAGAGAGCTAGAGAGAAAGGAGAGAAGATAGAGAGAAGGTAAAGCATACAGGAACCGGAGAGTAGGGGAGTCACAGCATATGAGATAGGAATAGAGAGAAATAGAGGAAGAAGGAAAGGAGAGTAGAAGAAAAGAGTTCAGTAGTCAGTAGTAGAGAGTTAGCAGGGAGAACAAAAGAACTAGAGGTAAGGAGAGGAAGATATAGTAGGGAGAAAGAATAGTAAAAGGAAGAAAGGAGCCCCAACAGACGGGAAAGTATGCTAAGAAAAGTAGAGGGGGGAGGAAATGCAGGAAGAGTAATTAAGCAAAGGGGGAGGAGGGGGGGGTGGAGAAGGGAGGGGGGATAGAGAGGGGAGGGGGGGGGGATAGAGAGGGGGGAGAAGGAGGGGGGGATAGAGAGGGGGGGGGGGATAGAAGGGGGGAGGGAGGGGGGGGTAGAGAGGGGAGGGGGGATTGAGAGGGGAGGGGGGTAGAGAGGGGAGGGGGGGTAGGGGAGAGGAGGGGGGATTTGAGAAGGAGGGGGGTAGAGGAGGAGGGGGGATAGAGGAGGGGGGGGATAGGAGGGGGAGAGGAGGGGGGATAGAGAGGGGAAGGGAGGGGGGATAGAGAGGGGAGAGAGGAGGGGGGTAGGGGGGGGAGAGAGGGGGGGGATAGGAGGGGAGAGAGGAGGGGGGGGAGAGAGGGAGAGAGGAGGGGGGGAGGAGGGGGAGGGGAGAGGGGGGGGGAAGAGAGGGGAGAAGGAGGGGGGAGAGAGGGGGGAGAGAGGAGGGGGGAGAGGGAGGGGGGGAGAGGGGGGGGGGGAGGGAGGGGGGGGGGAGGGGGGGGGGAGGAGGGGGGGAGAGGAGGGGGAGAGAGGAGAGAGGAGGGGGAGAGAGGGGGGGGGAGAGGAGAAGAGGGGGGAGGGGAGGGAAGGGGGGAGGAGAGGAGAAGGGGGGGAGGGAGGGGGAGAAGAGGGGAGAGGGAGGGGGAAGAGGGGAGAGGAGGGGGAGAAGAGGGGAGAGGAGAGGAGAAGAGGGGAGAGGAGAGGGAAGAGGGGGGGAAGGAGAAGGAAGAGGGGAGGGGGAGGAGAAAAGGGGAGAGGAGAGGGAAGAGGGGAGAGGAGAGGAGGGGGGAAGAGGGAGAGGAGAGGAGAAGAGGGGAAGGAGGAGAGGAGAAGAGGGGGAGGGGGGAGAAGGAGGGGGGGAGGAGAGGAGAAGAGGGGAGAGGAGAGGGGGAAGAGGGGAGAGGAGAGGAGAAGAGGGGAGAGGAGGGAGAGGGGAAGAGGGGGGAGGAGGGAGGGAGAAGAGGGGAGAGGAGGGAGAGGAGAAGAGGGGAGAGGAGAGGAGAGGAGAAGAGGGGAGAGGGGAGGGAGGGAAGAAGAGGGGAGAGGAGAGGAGGGAGAAGAGGGGAGGGGGAGAGGAGAGGAGAAAAGGGGGAGGAGAGGAGAGGAGAAGAGGGGGGAGGAAAAGGGAAAAAGGGGGGGGGGGGAGGGAAAGAAGGGGGGGGAGGGAAGGAGAAGAGGGGAGAGGAGGGAGAAGAGGGAGGGGAGGGAGAGGAGGGGAGGGGGAGGAGGGGAGGGGGAGGGGGGGGGAGGGGGAGGAGGGGAGAGGAGAAAAGGGGGAGGAGGGGAGAGGAGGGGGAGAGGAGGGGAGAGGAGGGGAGAGGAGGGGGAGAGGAGAGGAGGGGGAGGAGAGGAGAGGAGAGGGGAGGGAGAGGAGGAGAGGGGGGGGGAGAGGAGAAGAGGGAGGGAGAGGAGAGGAGAGAAGGGGGAGCGGAAAGGAGAGGAGAGAAGAGGGGGAGGGAGGGGGGAGGAGGGAAAAGGGGAAAAGGAAAAGGAGAGGAGAAAAGGGGGAGGAGAGGAGAGAAGAGGGGAAGGAGAGGGGAGAGGAGAGGAGAGGAGGGGAGAGGAGAGGAGAGAAGAGGGGGGGAGGAGAGGAGAAAAGGGGGAGAAGAGGGGGGAGAGGAGAAGAAGAGGGGGAGGGAAGAGGGGAGAGGGGGGGAGAGGAAAGAGGGGGAGGAGAGGAGAAGAGGAGAGGAGAAAAGGGGAGAGGGGGGGGAGAGGAGAAGGGGGGAGAGGGGGGGGAAAGGGGAAGAGGGGAGAGGAGGGGAGAGGAGAAGGGGGAAGGGGGGAGAGGAGAAGAGGGGAGAGGAGAAGAGGGGAGAGGAGGGGAGAGGGGGGGAGAGGAGAAAGGGGGAGAGGGGGGAGAGGAGGGGAGAGGAGAAAGGGGGAGAGGAGGGGGGGAGGAGGGGAGAGGAGAAGAGGGGAGAGGAGGGAGAAGAGGGGGAGGAGAGGGAAAAGGGGGGAGGAGAAGAGGGGAGAGGGGAAGAGGGGAGAGGGGAGAAGAGGGGGAGGAGAAGAGGGGGGAGGGGAGGGGGAGGGAGGAAGAGGGGGGGGAGGAGAAGAGGGGAGAGGAGAAGGGGGAGGGGGAGAGGAGAAAAGGGGAGAGGAGAGGAGAAGAGGGGAGAGGGAGGAGAGGGGGGGAGGAAGGAGAGGAGAAAAGGGGAGAGGAGAAGAGGGGGAGGGAGAAGGAAGGGGAGAGGAGGGGGGGGAGGGGGGGAGGGGGGGGGGAGGGGGGGGGAGAGGAGAGGAGGGAGGAGAGGGGAAGGGGGAGAGGAGAGGAGAAGGGGGAGAGGAGGGGAGGGGGTGAGAGGAGGGGAGAGGTGGGGAGAGGGGGGGAGAGGGGGGAGAG